GCAACAGGGACAGCTGCAGCTCCAACAGGTTGATCAACAACTTTGAATCTTTTGCTGTCCTGCAGACTGTCCTCCTTCCAAGGCACATAGATTTGTCACAGAGTACGTTATTCCTGGAGGGAAGAGAAACTGGTGGAAACTTCCCCTTTCCAATAGAAAGACTACAGAAAGTCTCATCCAAGCAGTCTTTGAAACCCTGAATCTGGATGACACGTCTGCAATTTCTTCAGTTGGCAGCTTGCAGACCTACTTTTTTTCTGACATTCTACTTGCAGATTCATATCTTTGACTTATATTGTCTGTAAGTATTTCACTGCAATCCCTCAGCCCCCCTGATTAACTGTGGAGATGAAAAAAAATCAGCCACATAGGCAGTATACAGATTCAATTTGTCTCACGTCCAATGAAAGTAAATGGACATCATAACATCACGTGCCCTTAGACTGCCGAAGGACGGTGGGCGCAAAGGGCAGTCTCCTTTAACCACTTCCAGACCAGGTGTTTAGACCCTCTTCCTGGCCATTTTTCAGTATTCAGCGCTTCGGGACTTTGACTGACATTTATTCCGTCATGCAACGCTGTACTGAAATGAATTTTATACCATTTTTCGGGGACAGATAGAGCTTTTTTTTTTGGTGGTATTTAATCACCACTGGGGTTTTTATTTTTTACTATATTAAGGAAAAAGTATTGAAAATTTTGAGGAAAAAAAAAAAGAAGTAATTTTTTCATTATATTAGGAAACAATGATTATTACCCATATTTTTGGTAAAATATAAAAGACGGGGTCACGTCGGGTAAATAGACACCAAACATGTCAAACTTTAAAATTGCGCGCACCAGCGGAAAAAAAAATATTGCAAAAAAAAAACTACCATACCCAAAACTGATCATAGGCGACGCTTTAAAAGCTTTTACCGCTCATCAGTTTAGTGTTATCAGTGATTGATAGCCCTAGAATTATTGGTCTCATTCCGACGTTCGCGACGATATGCAACATGTGCGGCGTAATGGGCGCAATCGTCATTTTCGCACGTATGCGCACCCAACGCCTGTTTGCATGCGTGTATGTATGGGGGGACTTTAAAAAAAAAAAAAATTAAATTCTTTTTTATGTGTAACTTTACATTTTTGGGGGGAAAACTTTTAAAAAATGTTCCTATTTGTTTTTCCCCACTTGAATTTATTGCTATCCCATAGGGGGCTAGGAAACCCCCCCTTATGTGATAGCAAAAGAAGTGACAGGTCCTCTTTATGGAGACATCAGGGGTCTCCAAGACCCCTAATATCACCTAGAACCCCCCTGAAGAAGCTGATGAAGCAGAGATCTGCTTCATCAGCTTCTCTCCAGCTTCTGAAGCTGGAGAGTGACACGAGAATGCGGAAGTGATGTAATATACACCAGTTCCGCATTCTGACAGCGGAGAGGGGGCCGGAGGGAGTTCGTGTACCGATCTCCCTCTGATCCCGTCAGAGTGGCACTATGCTGGTCCCGGGCACAGCGGAGCCCGGTACCAGCGTGACAGCGGGAGGGGGGGAGCCGCGGAGGGGCGCACATACCGGGACCTCATACAAGCGATCCGCCGGCTCTATAGCCAGCGGATCACTTGTATGTTAACAGGCATCGCTGCCCGTTTTAAAAAATCGGGCATTTGCCGCTCGCGAGCGAGGGGGCATGGCTGAGCGGACGTCTAAAGACACACGCTCAGATCAAGAGAGCTCCTGGACGGCCGTTTTTTTACAACGGCCGGCCGGGAAGTGGTTAACCAGTGTAAATATATGTTGCTAAAATTTGCTTTACGTTAACCATGTCCTAAAAAATTAAAAGACAATAGTTTCTCTTCAAAACACCCATTTTTAAACTGTTATATACGTAATATGAGAAAATCTTTAATACGTTCCTCTGGGAGACGCAAATCAGGTAAGCAACTGTACAAAGATACTCTTGTTGACGTGTTTGAGGAGCAAGGCCATTAGGTATTGAGTTTAAGATACCAGATGACTCAGCATATTCTAACAAACACACAAAGAATAAATGTTCAGAAATACGGTTTCACTATATCGGCTACTCTATGCCCTTTAAAATACCATAGTGCTGTTCCTAGTTCACTTGCTGACACAAGATGTGCAGATACCTATCCAAAAACAACAGGGATGGGAGGGGGTGTAGAGATATGTTGTCACCCCTGAATTGTTCATTTCAGTCCTGGGATTCACCTTAATACCCGATTGTGACAGCCGCAAGTACTTTTGATCCCTAACCCTTTTACATAGAAGAGTGAAGTATTGGGACCAAAAAGGTGGAGATTTGCTTGCAGACGGTTTATTACAAACCTTACATATACACTTTTTCTGGGGTTGGCCATATAGTACTATTCACATGGCAACCACAGGCAATTTTAGCATCACCCCAATCCACTTCATAACATTAAATCAAATTACCAGTCTGGTGTTACACATGTCTACGCTTTAAGGTAGGGCTAATGTTTTATTGGTGGATACTAAACAGCTCCTTGTCCTTGTTCTGCGTCAGGTAAAGATGTAAACTCATTGTTTGGGGTAGGCATTGGATGAATAGATAATATGGGTGTATAAAAACATATAGGTATTAAAAAGGAAGATAACCCTTTAACTGGAGATTAATTTGAGCAATTTGCCAATTCTACAGTTAATATCAGAGTTTATCATTAGGGCTTACAGTAGATCTATTTATTGTAGATATTTGAAAGTGTGAAACATCTGGACATGGAGAAACCACAGAAAAGAGACATTTATTTGACTAAACAGATGAAGGTTGTAACCAGTTGCCACAATACTTGTACCATTTTGTACAGGATTTAAATAAATGTCATAAAAATACACAAAATTACTAAATTAGAAATTCTTTTATATAAAGACAAAAGGTGTAATTTCCTAAGGTCAAATTAACTAATCAGTCACAGTGATTTAATCTTATGATTCCCCAACATAAACCCTTCATCTTAACATACAGTTAAAAAAAAAAAAAAAGAAAAAAAAAGAAGAAGAAGAAAAAAAAAAGTAAAAGCAAAAACTAAAGTTAAACCACTGTCCAATATAGCGGTTTATTTGTAGCTCCGTTGTAGCAAGGCCAGAAGCTGCAGGAAGAATGGAGAAATATTTTCTCAAATGGTTATTCTTTGTTAAAGTGACACTAAACTCAGGAGTCAAATCTTAAAAATGCATTCAGCTATCTTAACTATTATTAACTATTATGTGAATAACTTGTCTGTAGATCCTCAAATTATCTCCAAACTAATGCGGACACTGTCCTTCCTTCTGGAGGGTGGCTACTTTTCTTCCCCATGGTTCCTATGTGTTTTGTAAAGTACTGTAGTCACCGCTCCAAGATCACTCTTGTGATAAAAGCAGTCTCGGGTTTAGTTTTACTAATTTGTATTGAGATTGTAGTCCACCATAGGAGCAAGCTTGGAGTGGTGGCTACTTAACAACACACACAGGGACCATATTGAACAAAAGTAGTCACCCTCCAGAAGGAAGGACAGTGTCAGCACAAATTCAGAGATGATTTGAGGATCTGCAGCTGAGTGATACACAAATAAGATACATTTTTGTTAATAGTTAAGGTACTTGAATGAATGCATTTTTAAGGTTTAACTCCTGAGTTTAGTGTCACTTAACAGAATAAATTTCTCCATACTAACAATTAGACTACAAACATACTTCAAATAAACCACGTCACACAAAAGGGATATTTATGGCACAGTAACTTAAAGATAACCTGTGTGAACATAAAAATGTGAGGTATCATTCCCGCCTTGTTTTTAAAGGTGCTCTTATCCCTCATCTTGGGATGAGGGATAAAAGCACCAAATTTCATGGGCTATATGCTTGTTACAGCCATGAAACCTGCATCATTAAACACAAGTTAACAGGGACAACCCTCAATCTCTGTTCCCACAGTGACAATTTGAAACTAACCGTTATGAATTAAGAGAACACTACCTGGAAAAGCTCTTACTGCACCCTGCACTACCATTCTGTCAAAACCAGTCCATTCAGTGGCATGTGTATTGTTTTTTTCTATCTTCATGTACTTCATGGCCCATTATATACCCACTATGTTCAGAGCATTAATATGTACATGTACCAGCCTTCCCAACTACTAGAAAAAGAGAGAAATATGGAAATACCCTAATTACACTTGCATACAAAAATATCCTCTCCCAGTGAATCTTGCAACAATTTAGTACTGTTTGGTGAGAATACATAATGCAAGACCCGTCACTTCATTTTCCTCCCTTCTGTATACTCTATGTATCCCATCTCTTTGCACCAATATTGCAGAACGTTAGAGTCAATCACAGCTTCAGTCAAAGTCTTCAATCACCACTATTCTAGTATTAGATAAGACGAGGGAAGACTTAAAAAGGACTGAAAGTAGCATGCACACTCAAAATATCCTAAAAATTCAATATTTTGGCCAAAGCTGAAACATCACTACTGTATTTTAAAGTTGTTAAGCATCTGTTTTATGTTTTACGTTTTCCCAATCACAGCCTGTTTTATATGTCATATCCCCTTGGAATAGAATCTAGCATTATCATATGGCCAGCTGTGAATTGTGTTAAGGTGCTTTAATGCAGGTAAGACTGAAGCAACTAACAATTTCATAAAATAAAGACACTTATGGAATGATTACATACAAGTGTTCAGCCTAGGACAATTTATAAAAAAAAGTCTAATGGCTTTGTGGATTTGTAGACAAGTAAAAGGTCACTTATGAACCAAGCCCCCAAAAAGGCCAATAAGAAAACAAAAATCTCTGTCTAAATAAAAACTAAGAAACTAAATCACAGTTCGAGGACATTGGGTTGAAATATGAATATAGCAAATACATTGGACCTGCCATTCTGCTATGGTTGAGAACAAATTTCATAAAGCCGGGCAAAAGGCAACAATGTTGAGCAAACTGCACAAACACAGTTTAAATGATCACATGTACCATTACTGCAGTTGGATTGCTGAAAGAAGAATTATTATGGGTTATTGTATATTGACTGCTCTTTGCCTTCTTAGATGGTGGCCTTGGTGCTGTGCAAAAGACTATACAAATACATAAAATGTACATTTCAAAATGGATGAAATCACAGTTAATCTCACAACATTCTCGATTAAAAAAAACTTCATTGCAATAAAGTTGCGCTAATCTCCTGCCAGAAGAGTCATGTAATGGGAAGAACAATTCCACTTTGTGCAGATTGATAATTGGCCAAGCAGAGGACAACCAGTCCAGTGTGATTCTGTGCAACCTTACAGTAATCTTGCCATATTTATACAACTTGAGGTCATAAATGTTGTCATGATACAAGTCCCAGCACGATCTGAGGCCTGACTGTCCATGGCAGCGATGGATTTACTTCAGATTGATTATACTACCTTAATTATTGCTATATATAAACAAGTGCAGCACTTCTCAGATGAAACATCATCTCTGCTCAAGTTCTAGTGGGATAAAACCCAACAGCTGTATGCTGCACACTTGCGTAGTGTTGGAGAACAACTAGTGCAAATCTGGCCTGTCCAAATTTCTCTTTATAATCCATAAATGCGGTTAAGGGGAACCCCAACACCCAGCTTTATGAAAGCTTATTTCAATGGAAAAGGTGTTCATTTGGTTTTTTTCTTTTCCTTCAAGGCACGGATCTAAAATGTAAACGTTTTAAAATGATAAGTTTTAAATGCTTCCTGCCCAGTGGCAACTCTGAGAAATGGGCACTTTTCTCATTAATATCCAGGGGATAAGAAGGCACTGAAGATAAAGTCCTCAAGTAGCAGTCACTGAGCATGATGGGAATTAGCTAAAGCCCCAGCGCTGGTGTACATCTCCAGGATTACAGTTGGTGGTGGACGGATGTTCTCCCCGGGAGGTTAGACATAGTTGCGAGCCAGTGTTTCTTAGTAAACGATCCTGAAAAAGAAATGCATTCCTTAGGACATCCGGCAACTAAAGTGTATGGTTAAATTAGGGTAAGGTTTAAAGTTAATGGTTGAATATCAGGGTTTCTCTTTGGTCAAAATATCAATACAAAACATACCATTGAAAGTGTTTTGTTATATCTGTTAAATGGGGGGGAAGAAAATACCTGTGGATTCCACTAGAAATTAAGTGAGCTGATAACCTTCTGTGCTGTACTGCATTCTTATAAGTTACCATTGCTCCATGTTCTCTGTGGAACACAGAAAACACTAAGCCCATGCTGAACCCAACCATGTGACCTTTGCATGTGGACGTCATTGTGGGCGAGCTTAAGCACTGCAAACGGATGATCCTCTTTCCTAGTGCTCGCACTGTGGGTCGGAGCAGACATTCCATCACTGCTGGAGATTGCAGTGTTGTCCATGGCTGGGGCTAAACTTCACCCAGAAGCTGCCTTCCTCCCTCAGGATTGCTAATTTGCCTTACTTTGCCTGCCATCACCTTTGTGAGTGCGAGTTTATCTTTTTGCCACTTGGCTAAAGCTTTGTTGGTTTACAACACTATGATTTACAATGAGAGCTCTCATGTACTGCTCCTTATTTTTATGTACCATAAAGGTATACCAGCAAACACAGAGGAAAATGGAATTCAGAGGTGGCATGCAGAAACATACAATGAAGGAGAATGATTGGTACATATAGTGAGGTTGTGTACAATGTGCAGTCTAACCTATAACTTGGTCCTTGTGTTCTACTGTTTACTCCTCCTCTTGGCTGCCGGATCTTCTAAAGATCATAGCAGAGTCCCTGTACTAATGAGATACATCTACTGCAGGCTAGATTGAGAAAATGTCTTACCTTAGTAATTTCCCACTCCTCATTTCCTGGAACAGTAGTTCCTTTTCCCTTGTATTGACATTCTCCAAGCTCCACTGGACCAGCACTATATTTGGAGCGCAAGCACAGCTGCTTCCCAATATTATGTCGCAGTTCATTCTGCGTACTATATTCAAAGTACTGAAACACATAAGCACTGGAGTTAGTACATAGTACTTAGTAATTAGAGAACAGAAACTAGATACTGTCGTAGAAGTCTGAAATTTAACATGCATTTAATTAAAGTGGTAGTAAACTGCCAACATGAACGTGGGAATAGTGGGTCCCCAGGAGGTGTTTGCCATAACGTGCTAGTATGCACAGCATATTAGCTCATTATGGCCGACTTGCCTTGCAGGCGATCTCCTCCAGCACTGCAATGTCAGCACTCTCCTCTGCCAGTGCTTTCATCTTCACCCGGTCTTCCTTCAAGGTTCAGCATCTTGCATGCGCACAGGAGTTACTTCTTTTCAGCACAGGACCTTGCCAAGCATGTGTGCATGCACAGCTAAGTGCACACAAGCTCTGGCAGGCAGGAAGGCAGCTTTTATGACAGAAGAGACATACAGAGACCTACCCATCAGCAGTTTCTTCTTTTATTTTACCTTTACTTAAACGTTAAGCCCATCACTTAAAAAAACTATATCTATGTTATGTTATGTTCTAAGGATAACTACTTTAAAAAGGAATTTGGTAAAATGAGAAAAATTTAGCTTGCAGAAAACCCTTTCTCTTGTCCCCTAGTATTTCTTTTTTTCCTAGTGAACACTGCCTGTGCCGCATGTGCAGTGCAACATACAAGTCGGCTCTTTTCTGGTATCTGGAAGATGCCGGAAATTAAGCTGGGTGCCGTGAAGGATGTAAATCCTGCAGGCATGCACAGGAGTTACATTATAAGTAGCTTCGCAACCAATTGTCAGGAGCCTGGATGAAGTGGCGGAGAAGATGGCAACGCTGGTGAGTGACAAAAAGGGACAGCTCAGCCAGACAGCGCTGGAGAATGGTAAATGAGCAAGTATACTGTGTATCACCAGCCCTGGGGTCCAAAGTTCCTCTTAAAGAACACTTTAGCTTTTTAAACGGTCACCACAGAACCTGGCATATATTACCTCTGTATTTCCTATACCTGTGTTCTAAAGGTTATCCCCACAAAGTCAGAGCAATGAGAACACTGATTTGTTTACATTCAGTTGTCTACAGTGTATAACTGCAGTGGAGGACTGAGAACAACAACAAGGCACCAGGGTCCATCCAGATCAGGGGTTTTCAAACTTTTTAAACAGGGGGCTAGTTCACTGTCCCTCAGGCATTGTTGGGGGGCCGGATCATAGTTTGGAAAAAAAAAAATATTACTGTATATATAAAGAAAAGAAAAAAAAACAGATTTGTGAATTGATTTTCATGTATCTGTCAGTGTAAAGGTCACAATTTATTAGGCAGCCTAAGACCTTTTTAAAAACGCTGATGAGTAAAGTTAAAAAAAATAATTGTTCTCTATAACTAGACAACCAGGACATATAATTGATTCTATATTATCCACAATGGGTTAACAGCACTCTTTCTCAACCCTGCAGCAGTAGATCTCAGTGCTTGTACCTGCTCTCAATAGTAGTCCATGCCCGCCCTCTCTGTGCAGCAAGTAGCTTGTTCCTTCCAAGAGCCAAGCCTCGTTCTGAGGCTGCTCTAGAGATCACATGACCTTGCTCCAGGTGGCAAGCCTCACTCTGAAACCTTACCGGAAAGGTTCAGTCTGCTAGATAGAGCAGAGTAAACCTTTCCGGGATAAAATGCCTCTCTCGCGGGCTTCTGGGAGATGCTATCTAATAGCGGGAGACTCCCTGAACGTCGGGGAGACTTGAGATCCCTGACGCCTATGGCAGGGGGCATGCGGCCTAGCAGGCCAGGTCAAGGTCCCTGGCAGGCCAGATCTTTTTTTTTTTTTACTATATGGTTAATATGTCCTCCACTAATGCAGCACACTCCTCATTTATGACTCATGACACAGAAAAACAGGTTTAGGGAGAAGTACAGCATATATGTTTGCTTCTTACAATCGAGACAACACAGAGAAACACTGGTGCATTCCATGTTGTTCTGGTCTTGGCCTACAGAAATTTTGTAAACTGCACTATACAGTGGAGTCTACAGACAGGTTGAATGTAAACAAATACATTTCTAATCTGCCTGTGAGGACACTTCTCAAAAGCACATAAAAATTAAACTACGTGCAAGAGCCATTTTCGGTAGTTGGTCTCCCTGGATTAAAATGGTATTCAAAGAGATTATATAATTTTAAAAGTACAGTAATCCTTTAATAACATCCTACTATCCACACGTCTTACTATACTATCAGAGCAGTTTGTAGTTCTTTTGTACCTGATTTCCTCCCATCCCATGACAAGGGTACATGATGAGAGGTTTTCCTCCATGGTTATTTTCTCCAACATCAAGGCAGCTCTGGGATCCTTCATTTTTAATCTATAAAGAGGGAAATGCTGAGTTTAGCACACTTTCAATATTGTTCCTTTACAGGTGTCAGACAGTCCCCCTCTAGGGGCAGAATCAGCATTGATAAACTTCCTTAAAGTGGAGCTTTAACCCCCTTTGACTAAAAATCACATCAGCATACAGCTCTGCATGCTGATATGAAATCATCCTACATTCATAAGCTAAAACAAACATATTTTTCTTTTACTTACAACTTTTTTTCCCCCCCACTTCCTGGTCCACTTTGGCACGAATGATGTGATCGTGCCCAAGCATTGCATCCTGGGAAGGTTACATCAGCAGAACATTGCTGGGAAATCTCATCTGTAACCAAATGAGATCTCAGGGAAAGGCTGTTTCCTCCCCTGAGAGAATGTGCATGGTCACATGTCCTAGTCACACGTGCCAGAGTTCCAGGAAGTAAAGAAAGATCTAGTATCCTGCCCTTAGTTAAAATGCCCACTGTGCAAAGACTTGGGAAGAAAGCAAAAATAAGGTATGCAAAAAAATAATAAGCCGGCAATTATCTAGAAGTATGTGTTTGTACATTGTCATTACTAAACATTTCTAAAGGTGTGTTTGTTGTTATTGTGAAGATATAGGTAAAGTTCCGCTTTAAAGCATCTGTCAGGGAAAAATCAGAAAATAACATACAGTACATCTCTGCAATACATACACATTCCCCCATGTTTCATCTCCTTAAAAGAACCTACAAGTACAGAGAAATACAAGTTGATCTGCCAGAAATGCACTCAGCTCCCTCGTCCTGTTGTGGGCTGACAACAGCTGTTTTGTGGACTGAGTGGTGTCAGCCCTGCCCAGTTTACTTTTGCTGAACTATTCAGACCCACCTCCTATCCTATTGTCCACAACATAGAGACTAATCATTCTATAGTTCAAGATAACAAAAGGGGGTGGGGGCGAAAACAGACTCTTCGAAATAAAACAGTCAGGGCACAGAAGGCAACTCTGAATTTCTTATTTGATCAACAAGTACTTTTTGCATTTATCGAAAAGATATAACAAAATGCTTTCTGTGGTTTATATAAAACAGACTACAAGGGATCAAATAAGGAGTTCATTGTCAGGGTTTACATACATACATACATACATACATACATACATACATTTTAAAGTGTATCTAAACCCATAAACAAAAATGAAATATATTTCCTTAGGATGCATTCATTTTCTTTTGTTTTTGTTTTTCTTTTATTTTTGCCTGGTGATACTGCAAATAACACTTCCTGTTCCTTTGTGGCTATGCTCACTCCTCTAATATATTTATGGAGGGATGGGTTGTCACCTAGGTTGGACTGTCTGTCTTTGTTCATCTCCAATACCTGCTAGCTGGCGGCACTCGTAGTTTACAAAAGGCATGCTGTGTTTTTGCTTCCAGTTCAGCAATAATTCTAAGGCTAGTTTTGAAGCTTGACATTATTGGTATCTATTTACTGAACCTCAAGCTTTTATGTTTTACCACAAAGTGTCGGTTAAATTGTGTCTATTTTTTACTTAAAATATAGATTTAAAAAGGAGAACTATGGGGTTTAGGCTTTTTCCCATATTTATCCTTAGGGTAACAGGAGGACACAAACTAGCGTCCTCCCGTCACCCTAAGCTCAGTATACCGTGAGCTACAGCTCGCGGTATACTGAGACGCCCCAGTATACCGCAAGCTACTGCTCGCGGTATACTGAGACGCCGCAGCTGAAGCGGATCCTGACAATTATGTCTGGATCCGCCCAGCTGCGTGAGCGACAGCTGGCTCTGCCTATCTAGAGGCAGAGCCAGCTGTACCCGTCCCCTCCCCTGTCCGATCCGCCAGTCAGCGTGTGCGGATCGGAGCGGGGAGGGGGGAATCCAGCCCCTCCCTTGTCACGGCAGAGAGCTGTGACAGGATCGAGAGGTGAGCAAACGCCGGTATGTGTTCGCTCACTTGTCGATCTACTGAGCCGACCTGTGACAGTCTCATTGTCACAGGTCGGCTAGAACTATGAGGTGTCCTGACAATTATGTCTGGATCCGCCCAGCTGCGTGAGCGACAGCTGGCTCTGCCTATCTAGAGGCAGAGCCAGCTGTACCCGTCCCCTCCCCTGTCCGATCCGCCAGTCAGCGTGTGCGGATCGGAGCGGGGAGGGGGGAATCCAGCCCCTCCCTTGTCACGGCAGAGAGCTGTGACAGGATCGAGAGGTGAGCAAACGCCGGTATGTGTTCGCTCACTTGTCGATCTACTGAGCCGACCTGTGACAGTCTCATTGTCACAGGTCGGCTAGAACTATGAGGTGAGTGAAAAGCACTCACCTCATAGTTCTCCTTTAATAAACAGTAGTGCAAATATCGTGTGGCATGAAAAAAATGCAATTGCCACCATTTTATTCTACAGGGTCTCAGCTTTCAGATAGCATTTAGAGAAAGGGCTAATGCTAATACGTGGGTTGGTATTACATGCCATCGTAATAACTCTAAATACCTCTACCCTATCACCTTTTGCTGGAGCTGCCAACCCATCTCAGAAATTAAGCCCACATAACATACATAGCGCTAGACCAAAGTGATGAGCAGTAACTGACCCGCACAATGATAATGTTATTCACAGTTACTCTTCATTATCTGACCACAAAATACTTACAGCCCCAAAATAAGTTGGTGAGAGGTCTGGTATGAACATCTCTGGGTAGATATTTTGGAGATACCATGAAAAATTCTTACAATGCAAATCATGTTTGAGCTTTAGCCGCGGCATAATGTCTCCAAAGTTCCTCTGTAATCAAAGATTTCAGCAAACGTTAAAAGATAAGAAATACTTAACAAAATATTATACTTCTTGTGAATATCTGATGTGAAACCAATGCACTGCTGTGTATTAGATAATGGGTTTATTTCAGTGATTTACATGCATGCTGTCTTTTATATTTCCACTAGAGGGCAGACAACAGTCTGCAGAGTTGTATCATCTTCAGTGGAAAGTCCAGGAGACAAAAAAAGAGAAT